ATCAGCTGATACTGACACAGGAGTATGCCTTGTGGTCAGGATGCTATCCAGAGGGACCTGGACAAGCTCAGGAATTGGGGTCATGGTAACCTCCTCAGGCCCAGCAAAGCCAAGTGCAGGGTGCTTCACCTGGGTTGGGGCAACCTCTGGTATTGTGAGTTACAGACTGATGGATAAACAGATTTAGAGCAGCCCTGCTGAGAAGGATGTGAGGGTGATGGTGGGTGAGAGACTGGTGGTTGGACATGACCCAGCCAGCAATGGTCACTCACTGCCCAGAAAGCCAAACATGTCCTGGGCTGCATCCAGAGCAGTGTGGGCAGCAGGGTGAGGGAGGGGATTCTGCCCCTCTGCTCTGCTCTGGTGAGAGCCCACTCAGAGTGCTGCATCCAGGTCTGGGAGCCCCAACACAGGACAGACCTGTTTGAATGGGTCCATAGGAGAGCTATGAAGATTATCAGAGGGCTGGAACATCTCACCTGTGAGGAAAGGCTGAGAGAATTTGAGATATTCATCTTGTACAAGGGAAGGGTCTGAAGGAACCTTATTGTGGCCTTTCAGTCTTAAAGGGAGCCTAGGAAAGATGGTGATATAGACTTAGCAGGATGTGCTGTGATAGGACAAGTCATTAAGGTTTAAACTGAAGAAGTATTAATTTAGATTATCTGTAAGGAAGAAGTGTAGAGGGTTTTTTTCACAATGGAGGTGGTAAAGCACTGGCATGGGTTGCCAGAGATGTGGTAGAAGATAAGAATATTCCAGGTTGGGTGAGTTTGGTCTCTGACCAAACTGAATCTAGTTGAAGATGTCCCTGCTCATTGCAGGGGGGTTGGAGTAAATGACTTTATATGTTCCTTCCAACACATCTTAGGATTCTGCATGAAAACATACAGGAATTTGGGGAAAAAGGGCAACAAACATAAATTGAAATTTAAATATTTTTTATTATTTTATTCTATTATGACCATTCATTCTATATAATTTTTCTAGAATTTTTTATTACTGGCATTTAGGGCCATGAAGATTTTATTAAAAGCACTTGCAGGCTGCACTGGTTCAGTTAATTTCTGTATATTCTTCATGGGTGGTCCCAACAGTTAGTTGATCATTGATCAGTGTAGTCTGTGCATACCCCATACATTTCCTTTGCTATATTCCTTTCACAGCAGCCATTCCTTCCTGCACAAGTTCATAAGTTTGTGAGAAGAAGCTCTGAGCTTACTTGTTTGCCTGAAGTAACTTGCATTATATTATCACACAGTGTAAAGGGCATCTGAGGCTATGCTCACACTGGGCAGCAAAGGGGCTCCTTCTTCTCCAGGCTCTTGACCCTGAGCACAGATTTGTGCCCAGGCACTTCAACAGTAACCAAGCAGGACTTCAAGTTCCACTGTGTGCCTGTGCTCAAAGAACTGTTTAGGCATCATCTGCTCTGATGGCTGAGTGTACTGCGATCTACATGGCTTGTATGCTAGGCTGCATCATTAAAAAGTTTATATTTATCTCTGTATTGTACTCTCATTATGTGTAATATGAAAGAAAAAATGAAGAAGTATAACTATTCTGACAGATAGCTACTTTGCCAGTGAAGAATTTGCTCTATCAAGTGATCTAAACATTTATTTAATTTGACAGCAGTTATTGTCAGCTATTTCAGAGATAAACCTCTAGAATGATGTGTGCAGGGACAAATATCTTCTTTGTTCTAGAAAGTAATTTTTTAATGGATTTAAGGATATTGTCTTTGTAGGTGAGTTTGGAGAAAGAGCATAATGTTACAGTAACTGTGACAGCTGAATGTAGCTGAGGACTGGTGTCTTGTAATTATTAAGTTAGGATATTGATTTATTCCTTTTAAAATTTTAACAAAAGCTGTTTCTGTTTGTTCTGTGGCAGTAAGTTTCACAGGCTAATTGTGAACATATGACTATGCTGATATGTGCACTATTTACATGCAGTCTAATAAATATGTTTCCTTTATATATTCCTTTGTTTCTATATTATAAAAGATAAATAGCACTGTTTAATTAACATTGTTTTTTAGGATTAAGTAAATGCAGGGGTTTTACTCTTCATTTTACTTTCTTCAGTACTAGTTAATTTACTAATTGCAAATTAATAAAAAATGTAATGGCAATTTTTAATTCTGTGTATAACATCCTAAGAAACCAATTTAAGGCAAATCAGAACTGTTTAAAAGCTGACATGACAATGTATTCATTCAATTTTATGCTCCTAATATGATGTCCACTTCAGGCAAACTGTTTCTAATTCCATTGTTTAGGTGAAAACAGTGAAATTTTAATCACTAATTATCCCAGGTGACTGTAAAAAGGGAAACATGAACTTATCTTAAAAAGGGTAGAAAGGAACTACTGGGAACTACTGACCTGTCAGCCTCACTTCTATGTTTGGGGAGATCATGGAAAAGATCCTCCTAGCAGCTCTGCTAAGGCTCACAGAGAACAGGGAGGTGACTGGAGAGAGCCAGCACGGCTTCACCGAGGGCAAGCCTTGACTGGCCAGCCCAGTGACCATCTGTGATGAAGTGACTGCATCAGTGGACAAGGGAAGGGCTACAGATGTCATTTATCTGTACTTCTGTAAAGCTTTTGTAAATGCCCCCAACATCTCACCCTTTAAAGAGGAGAGTGGGATTTGATGTGTGTACTGTTAGATGGATAAGGAAATGGTTGGACAGCCACATCCAGAGGCAGTGGTCAACAGCTCGGAGTCCCAATGGATACCAGTGACAACTGGTATCCCTCAGCAGTCAATATTGGGACAGTGCTATTGAATATCTTTATTAATGGCACAGACAAAAGGATTCAGTGCACCCTCAGCAAATTTGCAGGAGACAGCAAGCTGACACACCTGTGGGTGACAAACCTGAAGGATGGAATCCATCCAGGGGGATTTGGACAAGAATGAGAAGCAGCCCATGGGAATCTCAGGAGGTTTAATAATAAGTGCTGGTGCTGCACATGAGTTAAGGAAACCACTGGTGTCAATCCAGGCTGGGGGATGAACAGATTAAGAACAACCCTGCTGAGTGGGATCTGGGGGCGCTGGTGGATGAGAGGTTGGACATGACCCAGCAATGTGCACTTGCAACCCAAAAAGCCAAATGTGTCCTGGGCTGCATCAAAAGCAACTTGGGCAGCAGGTTGAGGGAGGGGATTCTGCTCTTCTACTCCATTCTCACATCTGGAGACCCCAGCTGCAGTGCTTCAGCCATCTCTGGGGTCCCCAACACAGGAAGCACATTGACCTGTTGGAGTGAGTCCCAGGGAGGGACATCAATTTGATTAGAGGGATTAAGCACCTCTCCTATGAGGAAAGAGTAAGAGAATTGGAGTTTTTCAGCCTGGAAAAGAAGGTTTTGGGGTGACCTTATTGAGGCCTTCCAGTATCTGAGGGGAGCTCGCAAGGAAGATGAAGAGAGACTTTTTACAAGGGCCCGTAGTGAGAGGACAAATGGGAATGGCTTCAAAGTGAAAGGGAGTTGGTTTAGATTAGATATTAGGAAGAATTTTTTATTGTGAGGATGGTGAGGAACTGGAACATATTGATGGAACAGAGAAGTTGTGTATGCCCCATACCTGAAAGTGTGCAAGGCCAGGCTGGATGGAGCTCTAAGCAACCTGGTCCAGTGGGTAGTACCTCTGTCCATGGCAAGGGGGCTGGAACTAGATGACCTTTAGGGCCCCTTCCAAACAAAGACATTCTATCATTCTGTTATTCTATGATTCTAGTAACCACCAAAAATATAAAAGCAGACTGTTTCCAAAACAGTGCAAAAACTTCTGATTTTCATGTTATTTTAGTAACTAACTATATGTGATATTCTTTCAGCTATTTTAGATACTGCAAAAATATAAAAGCAAACTGTTCCCAAACCAGAGCGAGGATTTCTCCTCCAGTAAGGATTTTCCACCTGTTTCTATCATGAAATAAGTCAGAAAATAATTGATTAACCAATGTGATATAAATTGGGACTGAATCAAAGAGAAAAATTCTGCAAGAAATATGTCTGTGCATCCAGAAGGAAGTAATTACACAAATGCAATTGAACAATTTCCTGAACCAGTCAGAATTTTGCAGCTTATCTTTAATTTGTTTTGCTTTCGCTACTAACTATTGTATTTCAAAGTAGGAGATGACATGTTGTTATCTCAAATTCCCTCAAACAAGCTTCTAAATTGGGATACACTGGTTTCTCCTAACAGGAATCCATTTGGTCTAATTGATCTATGACTCAGTGAACTTTACATCGACACTGAAAATACAGAATATTCATGACCTTGTCTATAAGCATAGCAAGAGGAGGTACAGAACAGTACCTCTTGTAAACAGTGTTTACAAATCAATTGGACAACTAATAATATAATGTTGTTTTTCCTCTTTCTTCTTGGTGCTTATTCCTGATAAGTTTTCTGTTAAACCCTAATGTCTTGCCAAGGAAACTTAGAAATAAAGCAACAAATATCAACCACTAAAATAAGGTGAACAAAAATGGCAAGAAGTTTAAGGTGCATTTTATTCTTTTCTTAAACATTTGTTTCAAAGCAAAATTACTTAGTGTTTATGCAAAAATTTAGCCTCAGCATATACTATGAAAATAGTTATTCCTGTTTGTTTCTCCTGAAATTGAAAACAATATTTATGTTACAGGATGTGATTATTTCAACAAATATGCTCTCTATCTAAATGGAAAGATCCATCCTTTTTTTCACAAAACAGATGCATAAAAATTTACCTCAAAAAGATTTAATATTTAATATTTTCTCATTTTGTTTTACTTTCCACAGTCAGTGTAGGAAATACTGCACAGTTGTACATACCTAATACAAACTCTGGCCTTCCAGTTATGTAAGGCAAGACTTTAATTATATTGTCATAGTATCTGCATTAAAGAGTATGTTTAACTCTGGTTTTGAGATCTGGAGGATGTACTTCAAGCATTTAATTAAAGACGTCTTATTGCAATTTTTATTTAGGAAAGGAAGATGAAGAAATTAGCCACAAGAGAAAAAAGCCCTGGAAGGTAAGGGTCTCTGTATCTCATAATTAAATGTTTTCAAATATCACAAGTGAGTTCACAAAAGGGATCATAATATAGCACAGAATAATAGAATGGTCAGGGTTGGAAGGGACCAGCCAGTCATTCAGTCCAATGCCCCTGCCAAGGTGGGTCACCTAGAGCAGGTAACACAGGAATGTGTCCAGGTGCGTTTGTAATGTCTTCAGAGAGGGAGACTCTACCACCACCCTGGACAGCCTGTTCCAGTTCTCTGCCACCCTCAGTGTAAATTTCTTCTTCATGTAGAGATGAAATTATTGTGTTTTATTTTACAGTCATTGCTCTTTGTCCTGTCCCTGGGCACCAAGATAAGAGTCTGACACCATCCTCTTGTCAGCCACCTTTGAGATATTTATGTGCATTAATGTTATCTCCTCTCAGTCTTCTCTTCTCAAGACTAAGCAGGCCCAACAAGGCTTGCTTTTGTATTAAATTTTAATTGAATTATAACTTTGAACTTACAGGAAATTAATATCTGGTTGGAATTATACAAAGGAAGAGGTAAGATCTAAATGTTAACTTTTAATTAATTTCCTCATTTAAGATCACCCTAAATATAAGAGAAATGTGATTATTCAAAAGTTAAGGCATATATAAACTTCCTGATATCTCAGTTTTGGAAAAGAACTTCACACAGATTTCTTTAATGCTTTGTAATTTATGGTGCATTTCTAACTTTCTACAGTGATAATTTCTGATAACTTTGAACAAAGTTTTGGATACGTTTGAGTTATTTTTAACCTGTGAAATTGGCTTAATGGTACACACAGAGGCTGCAGCAATGTTGTGCTGCTCCAGCATCCTGGGGAATTCTGAGATGTTCTGAAAAAGGGTCTGTGAATAACTGATGACTATTCATTGCATCCTTACAGGTGTATGCTTAAGAAAGACTCACAAAGATGCACTGAAGCAAAGACAGAGGAAGAATACACAATTCATGTCTTTGATACTCATCTTTTGGGGAGCTCCCTGATATTCAGATTTTGCATCTCACAGCCCTGTGCAAGAACCTCTAGCACCAAAGCTCTGAGGGGTTTGCAGGGCCATGCAGCCATGTGGACACAAAGATGTGTGGGGGAATGACTGCCTTACAAGCACTTGCCAGGGAGCTGCAGGGAAGGGTGGGATCCCTGAGGGTGTCCAACACCATGCCAAGGGTCCAAGGCAGTTCAGCTTTCTTAGTTGCTCACAGGCTGGGCATGTGTGGAAAGCCCCACTGTGGGGTACTCACCCTGGGGTCGGTGCCTTCTGCAGAGCTGATGTTCTGCACGCTGTGGAGAAAGCAACACCTGCTTTGGGCTCACACTGCCTTGCCATGGGATGCAGTGCACCAACTGAGTCAGCAACAGTAATGGCAATGACCAGAGCAGCTGCACTTGCTGCAGTCAGTCTCAGATGTGGGATGGAGAAGCCATCTGCTAATGCAAGTCTCTTGGAAGCAAAGTTTGAATACATTTCATAGTGGCATCTAGCAGAATATCTGCCCTGTCATGACCTCTCGTGCTTCCTAGCAAATCTCTGTAAAAAGAGCTCCAGCCTATAGTAAACTATCTTAGGAGACAAGACAGATGCTTTAAAGAACAGCTATTTGCCACTAGTTTATGCTGACCCCCCAACTAGTTTATGCTGACATATTTTAAATGCAGGGACAGCTCATACTGCTTTAGCTACTGCTTCTCTGACTATGCTGGAGAAAAAAGCCTAACCATAGACAACTTTCTGCAAAGTCACAAACCTTTTGGTTTCCAGTAGCAAGACCACACTAACCAAAACTACCCTGGTAGGCTGGAACTAGCGGCAGAGAAGAAAGATCTATCTTCTTCTCACTAACAGGAGACATCCTGGTATATAAATAATAAAATAGGGAAAATAGCAATGTTGCTACTCAGGTACAAAATACTTCCATTAATAAATGGGGATATTAATCTACTTTATATGAACCAAAGAAATCAATATCATACGTGGCTTGTTCCAGGGGCCTGCACAGATTTTGCATGAAGTGAGCTGGTTATTAAACATGCTGAAACTGAAATGAGTCGGTGTTAAATAATTCTCTAATTCATCTTGCCTTGTTTCAGTGACAAACTCCATCTTAAACAGTTAAGTGATTACAAGTTTGAAATTAAGTTCCAGGATGAATAATTAAACAGAAACTCTGACATCTGCAAGAAATCAAATTCCCTACTCTAGAAACATTTAGAGTAATAGATACAGGAGTAGATTGGTAACACATTTCTGATTAAATTTAGTCTGTGTAGAATGGCTCCTCATATATTTCAGTCAACAATACACTGAAGTAATTTGTATGTTTTTCATAATTTGGTTTCCCATTAGCAAATAATAAGATAAAAGTCTCCAAAATACATTTGAATTTGAAAATTAGGTAAATTTGTCTGCTTCCCTGGGGAAAAAAATATAATAATTTAAAACTGAAATGTATCTTTGGTGAGGTATGTGCTTACTGTGGATCTTTTTACTTGATGAACAAGTTGAGAAACTTGTTAGAAAGAAATGTTTGCATATTTGCTTTATAGACAAAAGTTTCAGTTTAGGAGAAACTTTCTTTTCCTCATGACAAAACTCAAATCATCGACACACAGAAGTTTAAATAAATCAGAGGAAAGGTCAATGAGTTACATGTTATGATGGCATTAAACCAAATGTAAAATTTTAGCCAAATCTCTACTTCCTATTACCATAAAATGGAAAATCTAAAGCCTTAGAAATTACTGAGAAATTCTGTCATTCCAACTACATTTCTTTGAGGTACTATCTGTAGAAATCTATCCTTTTGCTCCAGCAATTTTAGAGTCTGTGCAGAATGTCAGGATGAAGGTCTCTTTCCCAACCTTAAAAGCCTGTAAGCCACAAAACATCCCAGAATGCCAGGTACTAGATGTTTGGGATGGTGTCTGTGGCTGGAAATGCTCTGTATCATTTCTTAAAGCCGAGTATTGTATGTTTGTGGCACTAGGTCAACTCAATTTGTGATGTCATTAAAATATTTCCAGTAATTTCTCCTGTGCATTATTATAGATTTAGCATTAGTCAAGAAAAAGAAGCAACTGTTTTCATTGGCTTTGCATGGGAGCTGTATATGATGAATGAAATACAATAGAAAAAACCATCATAAGGGTATGAGTAGAGCATGTTTCTGGTAATCATATGTTTATTGTCTTATGTGCTTTCATGAAACATATGCCAGATCTGGAAGACGAGAATTTTGTGTAACATATTAGATAAGACTTAAACACTGAAAAAATATTGACTCATGTCAAAATTATACAACTTCTTGAAAGCATAAAGTAGAATGCCATTTATCAAAAAAGGGTTGCAAATCTCCAGTAACTCCCAGTGGCTACATACTTATCTCAAAGAGAACAGTGACAGAGGTGATACAGAACCATTATATCCAGGAAAACTTAAATGTGAATACCTGCAATGCAGACAGTCTAGGAAGCAGCAGTGTGAGCAGATAATCAGGGCAAAAAACACTGGAGACTACAAACTAATCTACACTTCAAGCCAAAATGGCTCACAGGGTTAGAGAGGTTAAAGCACTTTAGTTTTACAGCCAAAAATGCATGAGAGACTGGTATTAAAAATATAACATTAGCCAGCTCTTGCTTGTTAAACTGATGAGTCTCACCCCTTCAATACAGGCTTCAAAATGAGACCAACAAAAAAATTATTATGCACTTCCATGACACTGAAAGACCAGGTTGTACCAACTAATGTACCAGTTTGTAAAAAAGCTGTAAAAGGCTGTTATTACACTTAGACATTGGAGACACTTGAGCAACATCTGTTTCCCGAATTCTGTAATCAACAAAGTACTAGGACAATCTAGAAATTTATAAAAATTCCAGGAATTGCCGCAGAAGGAATTAAGATACAACAATTAAGATTTGCACTAAAAATGCATCTCTCTCAATGATCCTGCTGTGTCCTCTTCAAGTCTTCAAGCAACTTTCCAGCTCTCAAGCTTCTCATATAAAGCAAAATTTTTCCTAAAACAAATAAGATAAATGGAAGTAAACTGTCAAAGCCAGAAAACTCATGATTCACCGATACATCTCATACCTCTGGAAAAGCAACCTTTCTGTCTTGTATCTCTAACAAGTCAACACTAACACTCTCTTGTTTTTTGCTACATAACATCCTATGCTGTAGGATAGGATAATAATTTCCCTCTCTGGAAAGACTTCTTCAGAAGCAGGACTTTAAAGCTTTCTTTCTGCAGGCTCCAGAAGAAGTCACTCACAATATCTCTCTGTACCTTAATAGCATTTTCAGCTAATCCATTAATGATTGACATGATTCAATTTTTTAGCGCAAACAAGTGATAATCTGATTCAATTTGCAACTAACATCTCAGCAAGTAAAGAAGCACTGACTTGTTAGAGGGACTGCAGAAGTGAACTCTCTAACTGGTGCCTTAATCCTGTAAATGTGAAGGCAAGCTCAGGTGGCTAGCTGTGTTTACCTATCACAGAGGCATTAATCTTGCCCAGTTTAGACAATCTGGAGTTTGATAAACTAGTACAAACTCATGTGTGACATTAAATGTACCATCCATAATCATAAAAAAATAAAATAAAAAAAAACAGTCTAAGAATCTACCCTTACACTGTAGTCAGAGGCCGATGAGTTTATTGCACTTATTTTAGAAACAGTAAGAACTCACAAAGCCCCTACAGTTCCTGTCCTCTGGGGAAACCACATTTATCTTCTGATTGAACACAAGATGGCAGAGCTTCCCAGTGGAACTAGCACAACTCTTAGAAAATGTGGCTTATGCCTCCTTTCTTATTTTAAAAGTTTGTCATCCACCCCTGCAATGGCTCATGGGAATGTCAGTGTCTTCTAGTGACCTACTGTGAAATCAGAATTTTGCTGCCATGTCTGACCATCTAAGATAAAGCAAATTGTTTTACAAGCCAAAATCTCACCTTCTCATCCATTCCAAACTCTGATATCCAACTCTGGATATCCAACTCTGGATATCAGAGTTTCTCTCATCAACCCAACCAGCTGGAAATTTAGAATAAACAGCAAAAAAAGAGGAATTTTTCTAGTTTTTAATTTTTTTTTTAATTTTTTTTCAATCCACCTCTAAGATTCTGTTTTATTTATTTTAATTACACAATATAATTTCTTTGGTTGCAATGCTACATAAACGTTTTGAGACAGCAGTAAGTTTGATCCAATTCCTAATGGTCTGATAAAAAGAAAGGCATCTTTTCTCAGTGAGCAGTTTGCTCATTTTAGAAACGCCACTGTGTGAAACAATGGGAGGATTAGTAATGTGGAACATTGTGAGAATGGAATATTACTATATCAGCCAAAGTATTGTGATAAAAGAAGTTGGATGATTCAGTCAGAAGACCACATGGTGACAGTAATTTTACTTTAAGATGAGCAAATTTGTTCCATTCTCTGAACACCTACCACTCATTATTTCAGATGGATCATATTTAAATTTGATATATTTAGAGTTA